GGGGGGGGGGGGGGGCGGAGCCGACCGCGGGACCGGGCTCCGCTCCAGCCGGCCGCGTAGCGGACATGGCGGGCTCCTGGTTCCCGCGGCGGCTCTTCCTCCAGGGCGTGGCCGCCGCCTTCATGTTCGCCTTCGCCTCCCTCTACACGCAGATCCCGGGTGAGGGCGCCGAGGGTGGGACACCCACACCCGCCACGCGCTTGGGACACTCATGCCGTCTGGGGCCGGGAGTGAGGTCCAGGCCTTGACGCGTGGGGCAGGGGCGGCGTTTCGTGTCCTGAGGCCCGGGGGTGAGGGGACAGGAAGGTGTGCAGTGGCCTGTTTCCCGTAGGGGTCCAGGTTCTGACCTGGGGCGGGGGGCAGAACCCCGAGGGGGTGGGAGAGACACTTCAGTCCAGACCTGGTGGGGCAGGTGAGTGGGCGTCAGCGGGTTCTGACCTGGGGCGGAGGGTCTGGAGGGACTGCAGGCCCTGACCCGGGGAGTCTGGGGCAATGCTGACGCGCCCCCCACAGGCCTCTATGGCCCCGACGGCATCCTACCCGCACGGAGGACGCTGAGGCCTCAGGGCAAGGGGCGCTGGCAGCAGCTGTGGGAGACACCGACGCTGCTGTGGGAGGCGCCGAGGCTGGGGCTGGACACAGCACAGGGCCTGGAGCTGCTGAGCCTGCTGGCCACCCTGCTGGCCCTGGGTGCCCTGCTGCTGCGTCCGCTGCGCCACCGGCTCGTCTACCTGCTGCTCTGGGCCGCCTACCTGTCGGCCTGCCAGGCAAGTGGGACTGCCTGCTGCCCCCCGTACAGCACTGGGACCCTTGCTGCCAGCTCGCTCCTGCCCCCACATGCCACCTTACCGACTCCACAGACCCACACCCCTGCTCCCTGACAGCCCTTCTCCCTGCAGGTGGGCCAGGTGTTCCTGTATTTCCAGTGGTGAGTGCCTGCTGGGCATGGGGCTACAGGAGGCTGGTTGGGGCGTGGTGTATACCTCTCTCAGGAGGACCCACTGAGGGGAGCAGCCTTGATGTGGAGGGGGCCCTTTGTGCTATTTCCTCTCCCCATAGGGATTCCCTGCTGCTGGAGACTGGCTTCCTGGCCGTGCTGGTGGCCCCACTGAGGCAGCCCCCCCACCGCAAGCAGGCCCCCCAGGGTGGGCAGACAGGGGCCTCACCCCATGAAGGCCTCCCTTTCTGGCTCGTGCGCTGGCTGCTGTTTCGCCTCATGTTCGCCTCGGGCGTGGTCAAGCTGACCAGCCACTGCCCCGCGTGGTGGGGGCTCACTGGTGAGGGTCTGAGCCTGGACCTGGGGCGGTTGGGGGCTCTGCCCAGACCTGACCACCCGCCCGTTGCCTGCAGCCCTCACCTACCACTACGAGACACAGTGCCTGCCCACACCCACCGCCTGGCTCGCCCACCACCTGCCTGTCTGGCTGCACAAGCTCAGCGTGGTGGCCACCTTCATCATCGAGATCGCTGTGCCCCCTCTGTTCTTCGCCCCCATTCGCCGCCTGCGTCTGGCCGCCTTCTACTCCCAGGTGGGTGGGGGCCTCAGCCATCAGGGGACAGACAGGGCTAGGCCTTCTTCAGCATTGTCCGTTGAGTCCCATTGGGGACAGGCAGCTCTTGGAGACAGGCGGCTGCTGCTGTCATAGGCAGAGTGATGTATTACTCAGGGCGTGGAGGTGAGTGTCTGCCAGGTGGGGCTGCAGCCACGGAGGATGTTGGTCTGGAAGTCAGCAGGGCCCAGGAGGGGTCGGCCTTCAGAGCTCTGAATGTAGGTCATCCACCAGGTGCTGTTGCAAGTCCTGATCATCATCACTGGCAACTATAATTTCTTCAACCTGCTCACACTGGTGCTCACCACATCTCTTCTGGATGACCAGCACCTGGCCGCTGAGCCTAGCCACGGCCGCCCCAAGAAGATGCCCACCTGTGAGTCTCAGTCTGTCCCGGACAGCCAGCATCCTCACCTCCACTGCATACCCAAGGGTGTCTCCATCCCTCCAACACTTCCCAAATGGCCCCTGCTCTAGCTCCACCCCAGCCCCCTGGCTGCGGACCCTCAGCTGACCCACAACTGTCCTGACCCACAGCCTGGCCCAAGGCCCTACTGGCTGCACTATCCCTGCTGCTAGAACTGGCCATCTATGGACTGCTGGCCTTTGGCACTGTGCACTACTTTGGCCTGGAGGTCGACTGGCAGCAACGCACCGTTCTCTCCAGAACCAGTGAGTGTTGGCTGGGGGGCCATAGGGCAAAGGCCAGACCACCCCTCCTCACATGCCGCTCCTTTGGCAGCGTTCACCTACCACCAGTTCTCCCAGTGGCTGAAGACGGTGACCCTGCCCACCATCTGGCTGGGTGTGGCTTCCCTTACCTGGGAGCTGCTGACGGCCCTCTGGAGGTACATGGCCCAATGGGGGGGGGGGAGCAGAGCTGTGCAAGGCAGTCCTGACCACACTTGGGTCCCCTGCCCCAGGTGGACCCAGGTACAGGGATGGCTGCGGAAGCTCTGCACTGCGGTCCAGTTGTCCTTCTTCAGCACTGCCACAGTGGCCTTGTTCATGATCAGCCTGGTGGGTAGCGCTGCGAGGCGGATGGTGGGAGGGGGCTGGAGGGGCAGCACTGAGCTCTACCCACCCGCCTTCAGGTGCCCTACTCCTACATGGAGCCCGGGACCCACGGGCGCCTCTGGACGGGGGCCCACCGCCTGTTTGGTGCGGTGGAGCACCTGCAGCTGGCCAACTCCTACGGCCTCTTCCGCCGGATGACTGGGCTGGGTGGGCGGCCTGAGGTGGTGCTGGAGGGCAGCTACGATGGACACCACTGGACGGTGAGCCCTGCCGCTGGGGTGGGGGGCTGGCCGGGATCCAGGTCCAGCTGGCCCAGCTGACTGCAGCTCGCCTGGTAGGAGATCGAGTTCATGTACAAGCCCGGGAACGTGAGCAGGCCACCCCCCGTCGTGGCGCCCCACCAGCCGCGCCTTGCTTGGCAGATGTGGTTCGCAGCCCTGGGCCCACACACGCACAGCCCCTGGTTCACTAGCCTGGTCCTCCGCCTGCTGCAGGGCCAGGAGCCGGGTGAGGCGCGTCGTGGGCGGGGCTGAGGGAGGGGCACTGCGGAGGGCGAGGTCGCGCACACGTGCTGAGCCCCCTCCCCCGCCGCAGTGATCCGCCTGATCCAGAGCCAGGTCGACAGGTATCCCTTCCACAAGCAGCCGCCTACGTACGTCCGGGCCCAGCGCTACAAGTACTGGTTTTCACAGCCAGGGGAGCAGGGGTAAGTCCGGGGCGCTGGCCAGGGTGCAGGGGGCTGGGGTCGCCTGCGCACTGAACCTCCAGTCCTGTTGCAGCAGGTGGTGGCGGCGCCAGTGGGTGGAGGAATTTTTCCCGCCTGTGTCCTTGGGGGACCCGACGCTGGAGACGCTGCTCAGGCAGTTTGGGCTTCAGGTACGAGGGTGTCAACCCGGTCAGGGGAGGTGTCAGGTGACCGCCGCCTGCAGGGTGAACCCTGTCTTCTCAATCCTGCCCCCACAGGACAAGAGCTTACCCCGCGCCCGCAGCTCCAGCAGCACAGTGGCCCAGGCCCTCCACTGGGTGAGGACTCAGCTCTCTCACTTGGAGGCCCCCCCCTTACTCTGGGGGCTCCTTGTGGCAGTGGGAGCTGTCAGAGTCGTGCAGGCCCTGCTGGCCCCCCGGTCTCTCCAGTCCCCACCCATCAAGGGCGGGAAGCACAGGCCAGCCCCCAAGAAGGACTCACGAGCTACCTGTGCACAGGCCACCCCAGCCCTGGACAGCTGTAACAGCCATTCCCGGACCCCCTGGCGGGAAAAGTAGCTGCGTCCCATCAGCCACATGTCTCAATTGGGTCAGGGTCCTGGCATGGCTCTGGCCTCCTGCAGCACGACACAGCCCAGCCACCGTGCCTTAGCTGACCCTGCTGGGGCAGACGCACTTTGGGGTGCTGCCCTCTGAGGATTGCTGGGTGCTGCTTGGAGGGTCCACTGGTCCCCCCCACGCCAACCGCGTCCCTCCCCAGGTTCCTACCCCCTCTTCCTCCACAGTTGGCCCAGGAGGTGGGCACGTTATAGTCAGGACCATGGAAGGCCTTCCCCCGAGTCTGGAGCCCCCGACCCCATCCCCTGTGGTGGAGGCGATGAGGCTGACTCCCTGAGGAGGAAAGGCGGTCACCTGTCAGGTCGTCTCCACACTAGCTTCTCCTGTCTTTGGGGTCTGTGCACCAATAAAGGCGTCGTTTGTGCTTGGCCATGTGCCTGACGTTTCCTTCCCGCTGGGGAGGCCTGAGGACAGAGGGGCCTCCCCTGCCTCAGCAGCAGACGCAGTCCAGAGCGCTGTCAGGCTCATCACTGGCTCAGTGCCCCCCGCGGTCCTCCGTGTTCTCCATGGAGTGGATGCAAGTGGACGTGGCCGCCGCACCCATCACGGAACTGTCCGTCCTT